GCGAGAGGGGTGCAAAGGGGAGGAGGGCTCTGCAAGGGGGTGCAAAGGGGAGGGGGCGAAGCAGCGGGGGCTGCAAAGGGGACGAGGATCTGCGCAAAGGGGTGCAAAGGGAAGGGGGGTCTGTGTGCGAGAGGGAGTGTGCAAAGGGGAGCAGCGGCGGTCTGTGCAAAGGGGGTACTGGGGGGGGGGAACAGGTTGTACGGAGGGGGGGGCGGGCTGGGGGTACCCCCTACCTGTTGCCCCCCCCGGCAGCCCGGGCAGGGCCGCGATGGGGGCTCGGCCGAGGGCATCCGCGGTGGGTGCGCGGGGTGTGCGCGGGGTGTGCGCGGTGGGAGCGCGGCTGCGGCGGGGCGGGTCCCGGGTCCCTCCCGCACGGGGCGGGCGGGCGGACGGACCCTGCGGCGCCCGCGCTGCGCTGAGAGCGAATCCCCCCCGCCCCGCCCCGCAGCCCCCCGGGAAGTTCAGGGGTGCTGCGGGGATGCTGCAGTGCCCGCACCGAGCTCAGAGTGTCACTAATGAAGAGCCGTGCTGCTAATTGCGCGCGGGTTCGCCCCTGAGCGCGGCCGTACCCAGCAGCTGCCTGCGGCAGGTGGAGGAGAATGAGCTCCAAAAATCCCCCTGGAAGGATTCTGGCGGCGAGGGAGGGAGAGCCACCTGAGCGCTGTCACCACTGCAGTAGCGTTAGTGCGAGAGCTCTTACGCTGGTGGTTTGTGTGGCACGAACCCAGGGTGAAAAATCGAGAATTATTGGTATCATCCGTTCGCTGGCGACTGCTAGAGGGAGCGCGGATGTTTCCCTGTGCCTTATCCATCCCTCTGAGGGATCCTCTTGTGTGTTTGCCAGGGCTGCAGCAAGCCTGCAGAGCTGCCACCCTGCCCACAGCCGCGTGCAGACGGCTTCATCCCACTGAAATGAGATCATAAAATCATGGAATGATTTGGGGCAGAAGGGACCTTAAGGATCACCTCGTTCCAACCCCACCTCCAACCTTCCACTAGACCAGATTGTCCCAAGCCCCAGGAGGTGCTTTGGAGACCATGGCCTGCATGGCTTTACCTCCCCGCTCTGTCCATGCATCCCAAATCGTGGTGGGATTCTTGGGGTGACCTGTGCAGGGCCGGGAGTTGGACTCGGTGATCCTGATGGGTCCCTTCCAACTCATCATATTCTGTGATTCTATGACTTGCGGGCAGCCGTGCTGGGGGTTGTCACCTGAGCCACCTGTACCTGGGGAGAAGTTCATGAATCGTTTAGGAATGCCACGGGCAGGAGCCCCCATGTGTGGGGTGGGAGCCTCACAGAAACAGGAGTGGGTGTGGGAAGCTCAGCAGGGAGCTGGGACGATGAGCAAGGACTCTTGCCGAGGGAAAAGCCAGAGGAAATCACGACCCATAAGGAAGGGGGGAGAAACAGTCCTGCACAATTTGCTAAACCCTCCGATATTCGCCCAAATTCAGGCTTTTGGCTGAATAAACGGAGAATCTGTGGCAGTTCCTTGAACTTCAGGGTGTCCTTCTACAGCACCGCTGACACTGCAGAGCCCTGAGCCAAAATGCAGCAAAAAAGGATGAAAAAGGGTCCCCCTTCTCAGAGAGCTGCAGGGATGACTCTGAGAGGAGCACATCATCATCCCACGTGGTGGCATCCCCAGGGAGTACAGGGATGTGGCTCTGCTGGAGCAGAGGGTTTGGGGTGCAGAGTCCCTGGGCAGTTTTAGGGAGCTGAAATCAGGTAAACCTGTCACGTCAGTCAGCTGAAAAACATCACTAAGTCAGCCTGGGTCCCCCAAAACCTCAGACCTGCTCTGGGTACAACCAGTTCTCCAAGAGTCAACAGGATCAAGTCCTTATCAAGTGGCGTCTAGACCTTACATCCATCTGGATCAATCCATCTGGATATTGGAAAACAATAGAGCAATTTAGTATTTATTCAGAGAAATGGAACAGTGGCTTTTCCAAGGGACAGTTATTTCTGACTGAGAGTCTCCAGCACTCGTGCTGGGTCAGGGCACTCGGAATATCCGTGGAAAGGTCTGTTTTCCTTAATGAATTCCCGAAGGGCCAACAAACAACCCGCAAGGAGAATAAATGCAATTTTTGAAATTCTCTTCTTCATCATCTCTGCTGCCATCCCCAAATGAGATAAAGTTCTTTAAGTATATATAGAAACTGAATTCTAATCAAGATAAATGCCCGGTTTCATACCTAATTTGCATGAGTATGTGCTGCAAACTGTGCTTGCAAATGAGAGAATTATGTATGTAACCAGATAACCTGAGTGTGCAATCCCAGTACCGTATATGCAAAACTTACTCATTGCACTTGAATAAAACTTAAAGCTTCGGCAAAAAGGAACTCGGCTTTAAAGTACCAGCACGTTATTTTTATCATAAAAAAATCAGGTTAAAGCTGATTTGAACCTTCCAAGAACACATTTAGCTGCTGAGGCAAATTCCAAATTATGTTTCTTACTCAATCTAACCTTAATAATAGACTAGTTGAGCTGCTGCACTGCCAGAGCTGGAATTTTTTTTAATTTAGTGACGAGGAGAATTTCTACATTAGCGCCTGGCTATTTAAAAAATGTGTCCTAAAGTTGGCTGTGGACTCATGTGTGAATTAAAAACCTCGCTTTAAAAACCTTCATTACTACTTGCAAGTCCTCCTGAATTCCCCTGAAGATATCTTGAAAGATTTTTCCCCCTTTCCCATGCCTCCTCCCATCCTTACTAGGGAACAGCTGAGTCCATTAAAATTGATTTCAATCTCTCCGAGCAGAATTTGATTTCTCCAAGCTTCTGCCTGAAAAGAGCACGGAGTGTCCCAGCAATCTAGAGGTATCAGCTGCTGGAAAATGAGCAGTGCAGACACAAGGATGAAGCATTCCCAACCCAACTGGGTTGTGTTCTTAGTCAGAAGGCCAAGCCTTTGCTGGAATACTCAAAACTGGGACGAGATGATACTTTAGGAAATTAATTGTGCTTCATTTCCTTTCTCCCATTAGTTTTAAATTAACAAATATTGAATTAAAAGGTAATTAAAGAGCCAAAATTAGAAACATATAATTTCCCAAAATTGCTTTTTTTTTAGTTTTGTTTTATTTTGGTTGGTTGGTTTGTTTGTTTTTCTTATTCCAGCTTTTACCAGGAGCTTGACAGCTACCCAAGAAGTCTGTGTCCCAAAGGGATGGGATCCCTGGCCATGCAGTTGAGGCATGGAGAGGTTGGGAATATTTCCTAGGGACGCACAGGAAACCTGAGTCGATGCCAACAAGTCACAAATCTCTGTTCAGCCTTAGCTACACTCAGCATCTGTTCAGGTGGTGCAAAGGGGGCCTTGAAAAGCTGAAAAAAAAACCCCTCAGTTTTGGGCAACATGTTCTTGTAGTGACATCACATCCAGGCAGGCCATTCCTCAAGAACATGTTAATGGAATAAACCAGGATGGAGGAAGATTTCAGAGCACTACCCTTCATCTTTGCTCTTGTTTCAACCTAAGGAGTGCAGTGAAGAGAATATGAGAAGATTTAGGAGATGAAAAAGGGCTGAGAAGCACATGAGTACCATTCAGGCCTCCCAAACCCTTTAATTTGCTATTCAGATTACCACTTTTTATGGTTTAATATGTACAATATGCAAAGGAACCAGTTTAACTAAATGGGAAAAGCCTTCTGTGTTAAGGTTGAACGTAATCTAATAGGGCCCTTTGACTTGATTCAATTAAATCCTTCTTTTTCCAATTAAATAATCAGCCAGAATTTAATAAAAATGAATTTCAATGTGTCATCCTGCAGAATGATGACCCCTGTGATGGGGGAAGGCTTATGTAAATTCTGCTGATCGCTTTTTATCTGCCTCTGCCTCTCTTCCTCCAAAAAAAAAAAAAAAATTGCCTTCTGTCTGTGTATTTACATTAATTTCTCATCTGCTCCATGTATCTCTGTTTGCAGGAACAATCCCAGCTGAAAGGGCTGCGAGTATCAGCAGCTTCTTTCAGCACATCCTCAAAATGGGACGGGGAAAAAAAGGCCTCCAGAGTGGGATTTTCGATCCATGCCTTGAGTTTGTTATGCCCTGGCATAACAAACTGTAGGGCAAAGAGAAATTTGGCCCCTTCCAAATGCCACCAGAGGCGTCTGTGTGGCCGTTCATCACCAAGACAGTGCAGCCCGAGGCAGCAGCAAACTCCAGCAGCAATCCCCAGGAAAGGCCCACGTTCCAGGGGCTCCTCCAGCACGTCTCTGCCAAGCAACTCCCATCGAAGTCACAATAGTTGATAATATCTACAATTTTTTTTTCCCCCTCTGCAAAAGGTCACATTATTATTTCTGTTATTTATAACTGCATTTCACCCCTTCTCACTCATAAAATACAGAGCAGCAACTCTTTCCCTCCCCGGCTGGAATACAGAGCAGCATTTTAATGCAAACCTTGCTGATGTGGTACTGCTGTGCTGTAATGACTTATTAACTTATTAACTTATAAGTTATTAAAACAGAATGAGGCAGAGCTAAGCATGGACAGGTTAAAAATCTGAGTGAACAGTCTGTTTTTCCCTGCGATGCTGCAGTGCCACGTTTTCCCCATCCCCGTTTCTGTGTGGGTTGAAACGGTCCTGGCGACCTTCCTGCGCATCCCCCGGGACCGTGAAAACAAACCCATTAATGTTTATAAAGTGTCTCAGACCGGGGGAATTACATCACCACGGCGAGATACAAGCTTAATGGATCAAAACAAACCCCAGCTCCAAACCCCCCAGCTTAGGCACATCTCGGTTACCCGGCGCAAGCCTCGAGGAATCCCACTGAGAAGGGATAATTGAGAGAAAAATGCGATCCCAGAGATTTTTCCCCAGTAAACCCATTTCTCGTTAATAGGAAGCAGATTTCTAGACCCCCTCTGCAAACAAATGACTTCCACAGCATATTTCACAGCTGAGAGCATCCATGGCACCAGCTTTACACGCAGCACTGTGAAACCCAACATTTGTTTAATGAATTACAGCAATCCATGAATCCATGTACGTTCAGCTGTATTTAAATTTTTATGGGCAAGACGTCAGCAGCCAGCTTTGCATGGGCAGGTATCGGCGTCAGTGCTGAGCTCCCGCTGCCATGTACCCAAAACTTTGAACGTGTTTTGGGTTCTGCCTTCTTGCTGAGGGCAAATTACCCAGGAGTTTCATGGTCTCTGCTAGACATAGAGCTGTTTGGGTTCAGTGTAAATTTGGGGTGTTTTCTTTCTGAGAGA